TTTTCAATATTAAAAATATTATTATGTAAAAATATTTATAGATTAAAAATATTTCATTTTAAAAATTTTCTTCTCTTTTCATTAATCTTTATTACTTTTCATGTTCTCTCTATTTATTTTTCACTATTTTCTTTTTATTCTTTTAGTCTTCATTGTACTATATATATATATTATATATCACTAAAGAAAGAAGAGATTAACATAGAAAATAAAGTAAATGTAATAAGTTTTATTTACTGCGCATAAAACAAATAAAATCAGATTACAAAGAAAACAAGGACAGAGAGACAGAGATTAAAATCACGGACACTTTGCGACATTGGCTCACTGACAATTACTTTTGTATTGTAATTTCAGAAATCTTTAAAATCATCATGAATATGATATTTTGTTCCTTTTTTTAGAGCAAAAATTAGACAACAATGCAAATTCTGAAGATGAAGGTCATCATCATGAAGGTTTTCCCATATCCGACTTCGTCATTTTATGCGGATTCATAGCACTATTTATAATTGAAGAGCTTTTTCAATTCCTATCATACAAATGTCAAAAGAGAGCCATAGAAAGATCTCGAAAAATTCCCTTCTGCAGTTGTGCGAAACGCCATACTGAATGTAGCAGAACATTCAAAGCAGCTAATCCAGCAGAACAGACACTTTTCGGATTAGAGAAACAAACCACTGAATTAGAGAAGGAGTCTCCCTATCATACCTGCTTGTCTCCCAATAGGTAGTACCACCTTTCACTCAATTGATCTAAACGATTTTTATTAATATTCACATAATGCAATCGGGAAAGTTTTAAAAAATACAATTGATTTTGTTTCATACTTTATTAGGCCTACCCAAGTAGCACAATTCACGAACACGATATCGTAAAAACTTAGCCTTGAACATTTTACAATATCGTAGCGAAACATTGTACTATATAAAAATGAACCCCTTTATAACGTATATCCAATATCGCGAAACGATATTGTTCGATATTGTAAAAACGTTGGGGAATCTTGGTATTTCGGATATCTCTAAATTTATATTTTAAATTTATTTTATAGAATTATAACAATTTGAAGTCATTTTTTGTCTTTTAAATGATTAATTTTGATTTAAGAACACAATAAAGTTTAAAATGAAAAGTTTTACAAACAGACTTTTATTGAGAAATCGACGGGAATCGTACAATATCATACACACAATGTCGGTCGATGTAGACTAAAGCTGTTACAATATCCCTGTGCTGCTTGAGTAGGGGGTTAGCGTGACTCCCCTCCAATCAACTACTTTTCTTCAAGTTTACTTTTCTTTTTTCGCATCTTAACAGTGTTGTGAATTAAAGGCATTAAAATGATCAAAGTTTAAACTTTTCATATTATAATATACCCCTATAACTTTGATCCAAAAAATATTTTTTTCATGAGGTTTTACTGAATTAACTTAATTTTGGAAATTTATATAATAATGATTAAAAGTAAACTTAGAAATCATGGAAATTTGTAATAGCGTTAATTTTTTGAAGAACATCATCAGACTTGAAATTGCTTTACAGTGTCTTTTGGATGACAGATACACGTCTCTCTAGAGATAGGTTAATGTAATAACAGATAATACTACAACCTTACAGTTAAATACAGAAAGTATCTGATGAATTTAAAGAAAAAAAAATATTTCTAAAAAAATCGCTTTTGAAAAGGTTTTAATTTTTTTTGGCATGTAAAACTAACTTACTTAAATGCCAGTTTATTTATAGAGATTTAAATAATAAAAAAATATGTCTGAGCAATTCATCTCGAAAAAGAATTCGAAGAATATCTATCTAATCTGCACCAAATTTTTCCATAAAATAAAACCTTATAAATAGCTCAAAAGTTATAAATATGCCCATATTGCACATGCACACACCTAATGAAATGTAAATAAACTCACCAACTTAATGCATAACAAAATTAAAAGCGAAAAAAAGAATTCAAAAAAAATTATCAAACAGCAGCGGTCGCCATAGCAACGCATGCGCACTGTTTACTATTACTCTTGATTATTGTAGTTGAAAAGTGAGATCGCCATGAAATCAAAACCAAGACTCATTTTGCGAATGGATAAAAAAAAGTAAAATTTAAATCAAAGCAGGTGTGTCTGATACAGGATAGTCCTAGTTTTATTAAAGTTATGTCAGTGGGATCGGATCCTCTCTAGACTATACCTGACTAGGCCTCGTTTGACAAAATAATGTTTTGTTCGCTTGATAACGCTTTCCTATTCTTTCATTCTACTTAAAAAATAATTAGTAGAAACTTGAGAAATTATTATTAAATAAAAAGAAAATTGATCTGTGACAACTAATTCGATTCGAAATGAACAACTTGTGAGTGAGAAATATTATGCTGGCCACTCTCCAGTCCGCAAAAAAAAGGTACTATGGAGTTGAAACACACGATTTTAAAAAAAATAAAAAGAAAGAAAGAATGATGAATGACAAACAATCTCGTGGGTTGTTGAGCATGGCTTAAATGAAAAGTGTAAAAAAATATTATGAAGAAAAAAAAACCTGATGATTCAAAAAGAACTAATCTCTATTACGTACCTTATTTTAACGAAGTTCGATTTCTATCTAATATTAGTATACCTTGAACAAACTCAAATTAAAAATCTTCAGAGAAGGATCGTTAAATGTATGTTCAACTAATACCTAGCCAACTTACCATGACCAAAGGCTTGACATAAAATATCCACAGACATAGACAGATTATGGATTGAATATCTGTGGTTGAAAATCTGGAACATTTAAAATTAAAACATGCCTCTCACCCGTTATCATAATTGAATTTAAGCAATTAGCGAAAGCATTTAAGATCATTTGATGCATCATAACTTAATTGATATTTGTGTCCTAGTAGTACTTACGTCGCACTAGAACTGCCCAACGGGCTTTTGGCGACGATCAGAAAAACTTCCCTTCAGATAATCCGAAAATATGTCATCACAATTTCGATCTTCTGTAGAAGGGATGGCTCGTCCGCTTTGGTAGTCCAACGAAGTCTAGTACTTTACGGCAGAACAGTTTGATAAGGAACCGCGCACACTTGGTTCCTTCACATGCTTGTCAAAGCGGTCACCCACACGCTCACTGACCACTGCCAGTGGGACTCGATTTCGTAATCTAATGGAAACCGGGTCTTACGATCAGCCCACTGTACACATCACTGTTTTTAATAACAAATCTTATTTCATAAATTCATGTACTAACTCATTTATTTATGAACCAGCATTTTAAATTTTTTATGATTCATAATCTTTTACAGAAACAACGATGCAGCTGATGCGGGACGTAGACTAATTCAGTCGTCAATTATTTCCCAAGTGGTACCTAACTACGGAGCAATGGCAACCATTACAGAACTAAATGCTAATCAACCTATACCCATTTTGGCTCCACCGATAATAATTGGTGAGGAAGGAAATGTGATTTCCCAACTGCCTAAAGATTACAGGCCCTATACAACTTTCTTCTTGCTTGCAATAGTGTTAGGCATTCATAACTTTTTTCAGGGTTTAGCACTCGGACATACGGTAGATTGTTTCACTTGGAATCATCTGATCCAATGTACAATGCTAATCATATTATCATTCGCAGTAGGGAGTGTCATTTCGCAAGATGGAGATACTTCTTTACCAGTCATATGCTACATAGGGTTGTTATCGATCATGTGTCCATTAGGAATATCAATGACGATGATTTTCAACAATACATTGGGAAAAATCTCGCACTTAACGAAGGCAATCATTGCTGCAACTTCGTGTGGTGGCTTATTGTATTTAACTTTCTTTGACTTATTACGGGGTCTTCCGCAAAACAACTCATCTAGCCCGGCTAAATTTGCTTGTTTTACACTTGGGGCTGCATTCATTGGGGTTCTGCAATACCTCGCTGTTATAACTTGATCAAAGAAATACTCTGAAACTAAACGGTTATGAGTATTCTTCAATCTTTAGATTTATGCAAGTAAGTGGTGATTTTAAAGAATCCAGTGAGGCAAAAACCAAAGGGAAGCAAGTAGTAAGTGATAATGGAACAGCATTTATTCTAAACATTCATTTTGACGGGATTGAATTTGTCAGAGTAGAGATAAGTTAGTCAATCTTTTATGCAATAAAGTTATTAAAATAAATTTTTAATACATTATAACTAGGAATTCTTAAATCAACTTCAGTAAAATTGCAAAGCCAAAGCAGATTTTGAATTGCTTAAGAACTAAAGCATGTTAGTTTAAATTTCCATTTTCTAACGCAACTCATTTATATAATTACAGCCTAAAGTTTCATTCATAAAACAAAAACTTCAAGTAAACTTTTTGGAATATTTATCCATAAATTAATAGTTTCTTTCTCACAAATATAACAACAAATTGAAATAATATTCAAGCGCTATTAAATTACTTTCTTTAAAACTGCAGCTATAAAAATATTTTTTTTAAAAAAAAGAAAGAAGGAAAGAAACACAGTCTACTTAATTCTAAAAAATTAGGATGAAGGAAATACTTACATATTGATTTGATGAGTTAAACATGCAAATAAAAAATGCCCCTTAGTAATTTGCGCCATATTGGATAATTCTTTTTCTAAATAATAGTTCATTTTAATGATGCACTGCAAGGTAAAAAGTAATTGCTATAGGTACGATGCAGCCGGAATAAAAAGAAATTAAAAATATTTAACCATAAATATTTAAATCTTCGCTTTAAATAATAGTAATATAATACAACAAGACGATCATCCACATTTAAAACTATCTGTAGCTTACTGTTTTTTGCTTAACTGGACTAGCGTTTGAAAAATAATTAAGAATTCTACATTTTACCCTTTTCTATTCAATATTTTCAATTTTAAAGTGGCAAACACACAGATTTAATACTTTTGGATTGATGTTTAAAATGTTGCACGTGTGTCCTAAGACTTCTTAGTAAGAACCCATATAAAGAGTTGAGGCAATCTAGTGATAAGGTATGTTTTAAAATAGTTCAGGATAGCATCTTTGGTGTGACATCCCAACTTTCTTGTGAGGAATAAGATGTTGTTCTGTATCGTTCAGATATCTAATAGAAATTAACCAAATGTGTTAAGTATCTAATTGGAAACAATACTAAGGAAGAGTTTGACAGAAAATGTCAAAATGTGGCTTATCACTTTATCGCTCCAAGCTCTTCATATATAACTGCACAAAATTTATCTATATTAACTTCTGCTGAATAAAGGCACATTTTTGATTTGCTTCAAAAATAATATCAAACGATATGAATATGATCATTCAAAATCAAAATACAATTTGTATAAATAAATTTATTTACAATATTCATGTGATTTTTCAATCAACATAGCTATAGTTCACTTTTATATACAGTTATATAAATATTTATTTTCACTTAAATGCAGCTTTTTTTTTTCGATAACATTCTTTAAAGGTTAAGTCAATAAAAACAGAAAGCACTTTTTCATTTAAATAGAAAACGGCACTGTTGTGAAACATATTTAAATAAATCAAAAGTAGCAACTGTCAAATTTAGAACAACAATAATTCTAAATATGTCCGGTAGAAAAATGTCAAGGTTTAACAGATAAAACAATTAAATTAAGATTTATGAAAAAATTAAAACTATAGAGTTTAAGACACGAATATTGATAAAAACATGATAATCTCAAAGTAGCTTACTTTCACTCTAATTTCAATGATTACTGACTGCTTGAAGAAAAACACTATTAACATCTACCATTCTTTATTTAACTTGCATGCAAACTAAAGCACATCACTTCATGCTATTTAAATATAAAGATGAATTATTATATAAAGGGTTATTTTATTTATAATTATTTTTTTGTTTCATAATTTTGTGCATTTACTTAGTTACTTACATTAACTTGCAAATAATACACTTTGCACTGAAGTGCACATAATTATTAGTTTAAATAGTAGTTTTGATTTTTCCTTTGCGTAAACCTGTGAAATTTTAGCTATTTTGAAAAAGCTCTTATAAATATAAAGCAACAAAAATATTTTTTATTTTACTTAGAGATTTGGTCAGGGACTTCTGAGAATAGAGGCTGCTGGGGTGGGGGACTAGAATTTAGTAAAGGGCAGTTATGAGAGTAATTTGACCAGACATTTGTTTTTAAATCTATGACGATTCGTTTTTATTTTTCAAGAAATAAAAACCTTACTACTTTTTCTTTCAATTGAACAAACCCATGAGGGAAGAATTATTTTGGTCAAATTAATCCTAAAATCTCCTTCAAAAAACCATTTCGTTTTTTATACTAGTCTCGCCCAGCAGCCGTTTCTTGCTCTTGGAATCCCTGAATTTCACATAGTAAATTAATGCATAAAAATTACAGCAAATCGTATGATGTTTTTGAAATTTGAAAATTCAGAGTTTTTAAACGTTAATGTTTTTAAAATATCAAACATGCTCAACTTAAATTCTTCAATTTAAACAATAAACTAAAAATTTATAATTTTATTTTTTTTAAAGTTTTGAGCAGTATTACTTTTAATACATATTGTAAACAAACGTAAAATTAACAACAAAAATCAGGGAAGCTGATACAGTTAAATATTTTCTTTTTAAACAAAAAGAGTGGCCTAGAAACAAATGGGGCATTATTTTGCAACATTGCAGCGTGATTTTTTTTATAACATAGGAATTTCTAAAGGATATTTAATAATATTTCCAAAACAGCAAAAAAACTTTAACACATCATCATACTTTAAAGGTAATTAAAAAGTCAAAAGAGAAAATTAATTATTAACTTTAAAAATACAATAGCAGAAAAGTTTTTTGAAATGAAGCAAAAAAGAGATCCATTCATACAAGAGTTTAAGGAACAAAACTAAATATCATAATTCATACTTTAACAAACTTATTTGACACAATTAAAACACAAAATCTTTAACATTGAACAGGTGAAGATTTAATTATGAATACTTATTCGTCAATATCTTTTAGGCACTTAAATTTGTTCATTATATTGTAAATCGCTCATATTTTCAATAACTGTGAGACACAACAGATAGCATCTTAGTGTTATTATTTGCATGTGATATCAGAAAGAATATTGGGAAATCATTACCAGGCATATATAAATAATCGCACACAACAACAATCAATGCATATTATTATACAAACTTTCAAACATTCTCCTCTCGTAATTTTAACTTTTCAAATCAATAATATTTTATTGGATACATATAGCCGAAAATTTTCATTTACAATCAATAAATTAAGAAATACTTTTCAAAAATATATGAAACCAAGTTTATAAATATACTTTTTAAAATGCAACAAAATTTTTTAATATTCTCTAATCCCAATGATTAAATAAAATAAGTAAAAACAATAACACAGAAGGTTCAAATATATATTAACTTTAGTCTTAGTTATTTTTCAATAAAATATAGAAGGATCTTTTTATTTTATAAAATTTTGAATTTAAAAAAAAATAATTTTTTTTTGGACAAGCCTTTTTTTAATCTAACGCCATAAAGATTTTCATATGCTTATGAAGAAAAGAAGCAAAAAACTAATTATAAAAGTAATTTCAAAAATATCAAGTAAGAAAAACTGTAACTTTAAACTAGGTAAATTAGAAAGCTAAAATTTATTAGCAGAATAGTTGGGAGTATTTTATTTCTAAAAACAACAAAAAATTGATAGTACAATAATTTTAACCAAGTTTGGATTTCGTCGCTTAAGCTTATACAATCAATATAAAATTTACTGATGGATATGAATTACTTAATTTTAACCCTAGTAATAGTAAAATCCAAATTGAACTGACATTTTTTAATTAGTAAAAGATAGTGACTCTTATTTTAAGTTAATATCAGATGATTGTCAAGAAGTAATAACAAAAAGAATTATGGAACTTGAATCTAAACTTTTGGTGATGTAAACTTTTTGTCCCTACCTTCCCACATGCAGTATCTTAGTAGTAAATACTAAAAAGTATACAAAAATTATTCCTTTATAAAAAATTTTAAATTGTCAATATATAAATCCAATGAACCTAGTATATAAGACGGATATATAATCTCCAATATATAAAAATGAAATTGTAATGTTCTCCAATATTATTTCAGTCTTTTTTTCCTTCTTAGTATAAGGACCCTATGCTATCTGATTTAGATGCCCTTTCCTTTTTTGAGATGTTTTCTTATAACCCTGCATACATTATTTGTATACTTTATTATCTTTTTCACAACTGAATTCATACTTTCATGTTAAAAAGCAACATTTCTTAACTATGCTTTTAGAATTAGAACATCAAATACTGTAGATTGTACTAGTACATCATTAGAGTGATTTAGTAAGATTACAACAATTGTGGTACTATTAGATAATAGTATCATTACAATGTAATTTGGCAGTTCTTAAAAAAATTTTAATGAGAAATATAAATGTAAATAACAATAAAAAATATTCCTAATGTCTTGTAAATAAATGGCCTGAAAAAAAATTGCAATGCTAAATCTGAAATGTCTAAAAGATTTAATTCAGTTTTTAACATAATTGAACAGAGGGGAAAACTAGTTATCAGAAAAAAATTCCAATTTTTAGTTCCTAGGAATGAGTTTGAATGTACTTTTTAACTTAATTAAAACTATGCAATGCAAACTAAAAATGTCTTTCTGACTTTAATGTAAAATTACATTTGAAATAAATAATATAGCACTGTCCTGCTATTTATCCATGTCTTAACCCATTTATTACATTAAGTTCAAATTAAATATTCTACTGTTAGTTCAGGTTAATCAAAGAATACCTCAATATATATAAAGAAATGTATGAAGGAATGCTTAAAAATTCAATTTTGATTTTTCTTTTCCACAAACAGTCACATAAAAAAACATAGATCTAAGTAAATTAAGAAAATTTAGTATTTAAAAAGATATGATAATGCTGTAAAAAGAAAATGACACTAAGATATGTACAAGCGACAGACTTTAACTTATTTAAGCATTATTGCACAAACTATTGACTTAAAGGTGCACTTAATAGTATTGCAAACTGCCATAACGTTAAGTACAATTTTACTTTGACCACTATAGGGGTTGATTTTGACAATGACAAGAATAATATGATATAGAAATTATATAATAAAATTAATATAATAAACCATTTGAAAAATTGGGCAAGGCTTCACCCTCTTAAGTATTCCTTGAATTTTTTAAATTTTATGCTGCAGACTACTCTGCATGAAATAAAATGTTTTCTCCATGTTATTTAAATGAAAAGTAGTACTTAACTAAACTCAGTGGCACAACAGCCCCTAGAGTGCCAAGGTCTACTGTGCCCATCTCAGTTTTCTTGACCTTGGGCTCTGGGGTGCAGGAGCAAATGTTCCAGATAAGTGGTCAGTCGATCGCGGAACCCCCAGTGTTTAGTTCCCAAACATGTTTGGTACTCATTTATCGACTCACTGAATGGATGAAAGGCTGAGCCAATCGGGCCGGCCCGAGGATTGAACCCAGGATTTGTGGCACGAGAGCGCAAAGAATAGTACATGACAAGAAAATTTCGGTACTTTTGCCCAAGGGTAAAATTGTAACCCCAACTCTTGAAGGGTAAATAAATGAAAAACACAAATATAGTTCTAAAAAGTTTAAGGTATTTATTGCTATTACAATATTTTATTAGTTTATATCTATATACAAGGCCTGTGCTAAGCATTTACCGCCTTGNGCCATAGAGGGCCAAGGTCTACTGTGCCCATCTCAGTTTTCTTGACCTTGGGCTCTGGGGTGCAGGAGCAAATGTTCCAGATAAGTGGTCAGTCGATCGCGGAACCCCCAGTGTTTAGTTCCCAAACATGTTTGGTACTCATTTATCGACTCACTGAAGGGATGAAAGGCTGAGTCAATCTGGCCGGCACGAGAGCGCAAAGAATAGTACATGACAAGAAAATTTCAGTACTTTTGCCCAAGGGTAAAATTGTAACCCCAACTCTTGGAGGGTAAATAGATGACAAACACAAATATAATTCTAAAAAGTTTAAGGTATTTATTGCTATTAAAATATTTTATTAGTTTATATCTATATACAGGGCCTGTGCTAAGCATTTACCGCCTTGTCAAATGCTATAAAATTGCAAATTTAGCAAAAAAATATTTGGTTTTGGCGAAAGCATTAGCGAATGATTTTTTTCTCATGAAAACAAAAATATCAATTCCCCTCAATCCAGATTTAAAAAAAAGGTCAAAGGGTACTTTTTGAACAAATCTTGTATTTTTCCATTGGATTAACAGTTATTTCCGTTAGATACATCACATATCCAATTAGAATTATATTAAGACCAGAGGAGAGATTGTGAGACAAACTATAGTAAAATACAGATCACCACGTCCGTTGCCGGATCAAGCGATATCACTTTGCAAATTATTTTCTTCAGTTTGTGCCAATAAAACAGATTATGTGGTATTATCATCCAATGCATATTATATCCTTAATGCATATTATCATCCAAATATTTTTGCAGAAAATGTGCTTTCTTGTTACAATAACATAAAGGTTTATCCTTACATTACTGCTCAAGTCTAAGAAATTATCGAAAATTAACCTCAACCTATTCCTATTTCTTTCCCTCAAAGATGATGAAACAACTACATTTTTCAGCCTCTCTCCCATTCATTGCTCCCTTACTCTTCCTCCATTGCAAAATAATTCGATTTAAATTTGCATTTTATAAAATAATTCAATTTAAAGTATAATTGCATTTTGATTTGAAGTTTTTTACGGAAAAAAATCGATCATAAAAAATTTGACTTTCGCTAAGAATTTTGAAATTTGTTTAAAACCTTTGATATTTTGCTA